CTTGCCTCTTCTGTCACTTCAGTAGCCCCTGTTCCACCTCCTCGTCTGAAGGTGGACTTCACTTTTGGCTCTCAGAACACCATGTGCTTCTGATTCTCCTCCTACTTGAACTAACTTCCTTCCCTTTCCTATTGACAGTACTTCCCAGAAGTATACTCCTATTTGTATTCTTTTAATGTTTTCCTGTCTTTGTGGCTATTTTCATGTTCAAGAATATAATTTCTGCTCTTAGAGATATACTATTTGACTTATAATTACCTCAGAGAATACACTTACAAATCCTGCTACAGATCTCCTTGTGGATAGGTTCTCAGTAGGCCATGTCTATAGACAAATTTCTAAACAGTCTTATTAAGTAAGAAACATAGAGCCAAATACAGGGGTGAAAGCTGTAGAAATCAGAGTGATAGCCACCAACTAACCTTAGCTCAACATGTTGCCGTAGCTTCCCAAGAGAGCCTCTTCCTGTCTAACCTGCGCCTTTATTGTCTCCCTGTTCTGCCTTCTCATTGACTCTTAACCCAGTCACCTCACTTCCTCATCACTGCCTGTCTACACAAACCTCCAGGTCTCTATGGTTGGTACTAGGATTAAAGGCATGTGTCACCACACTTGGCGGTGTCCTTGAACACACAGAGACTGTGCCTGACATATGATGGGATTAAGGGCATGCACTACCACTGCCTGACTTTTGTTTATGACTGGCTATGACCTCTGATCTCTAGGCAAACTTTATTTATTAACATACAAATAAAATATCACCACACTTTAGCACAAATAAAATATCACCACATTTCCCCTTTTTCTAATAAAAATAAAAAAGAATAAAAAAGTTATAACTAATATAAGAAAAACTATATACAATATATACAAGCAATAAATACATCAACATTGTCTAGTCCATTTGCATTTGACAAACTCAGAGAAAATATTCCATTATCTATCTTATTTTGGTAAGTCCAAAATGTACCTGATTTTCTATCCTAAATTCTGTTACTAACAGAGACTATCTTATAACATCTTTCAAATATAAATAGACTAGATATTATAACTATAATTCTTTCTTGATAACTGTTTCGTTATGTGTAATTTTACTGTTAAAGTTAAAACCTTCCTTTCATTTAGACAGAAAAGGGGAGGTGCTGTGGGATGTTTTGTATGCTGTGAAAATGTGTAGCTCTGATTGGTTGATAAATAAAATGCTGATTGGCCAGTAGCCAGGCAGGAAGTATAGGTGGGATAAGCAGACAAGGAGAATTCTGGGAGAGGAAGGCTGAGTCAGGAGACACCAGCCCACCATCCAGGGAGCAGCATGTAATGGCACACAGGTAAAGCCACAGAACACGTGGTGACATATAGATTAACAGAAATGGACTGAGTTTGAGTATAAAAGCTAGTCAGTAGTAAGCCTGACTAATGGCTGAGCAGTTTTAATTAATATAAGCCTCTATGTGTTTACTTGGGTCTGAGTGGCTGCAGACTGGGCAGGACACAGGAAAACTTCAGCTACACATGTCAGTCTGTCCACATCAAGTTTGTTAACCTTTCCAGTGAATCTGCCATATCTGTTATAGAAGTTCATGGTGCCACTCTGTAGTCCGATATTGCCAGAGTTGCTTTAACCTCTCTTTAACCTGAAACTCTCATGATTAATTATAATGACCTTCTGGCTGTACAGTGTCTTGGATTTAAATCGTAACATCTCAGAAGTTGCCTTTCATCATTTGTCAGCACATTAGTAATGCACTCCTAATTGGTTTCCTTTCCCTAGACTCTTAGAATGCCAATCTGGGAGCACACTACTACTCTAAGCTGTGTAAAAAAAAAAAAAAAAAAAAAATGGATCCTACTCCAGTTTTCAAAAAAGATGTTGCAGACATTGCTCCCTTAGTTTATGAGTTATTCACACTAATTTAAGCACTTTACATACTGTTTGCCTTTAAAGTCTTTCTGAATCATGTCAAATTTTCAATAGCAAATTTTCTGTAGTATGTAACTAAAATCCTCCCTTAGAACACACCTTCAGTTTCTGGGGAGGTGACTTTTCATGAAAGCAATTTTTGAAGTATTTCTATTATGATGATGTTCTATCATTATCTCTCAACCTATCTATAAAAATGACATATGTATTTATGGGTAGATAGATGATGATAATTAGAAGATTAAACAGACAGGTTCAAAATACAATATAATATTTTCCTTTTAATAGTTCATTTGGAAGATGACCTTCTACTTTAAATATCAATGACAGAAATTGTTGATATTCAAGTTTCTTTGTAGCCTTTAGCATTGAAAAAAATCATTGCAAATTCATTATTTCTCAAAACAATGGCAAGCCTTATCAAAAGAAAAAATTGTATTGTCTTAGTGAATTCCTAAACAAAGCAGAATATCTCTCTAGCTCTAAACACATGATAAAATAATAAATATTGGAGAACTTTAAGCTTCTGACATTTTTCCAATGGAATTGAATGAACATTGCCCCATCATAGTTTTATGATACTACTTTATTTTGCAAAGAAACATTCAAGGAAAAGCTTACTAAATGTCTATTTTATTTAATGATATAAATTAAATTTTTTAAATGACATGTTTTTCTCTTTTACAACAGTATGTTTTATCAAATGGTGTAACTGATTTTATTTTAATCCTGATTTCCATATACTATTAATGCAAAGGCAACATTTTGAAGAAAAACACTGCATCTCTAGGTATATTTTATATAGTTTCTAAATTTAAAGGAAATTTTAGTCAAATTTCATAATTATAGACATTAGATTCATGAAAAGTTATTGAAACATTTGTTTAAATTGTCAAAATGCTCTTGACCTGGTACTAAAAATAGATTAGTACATGCAAATAATCAAAAGAAAGATGAAATAAAAATAATTTTTAAAACTGGTTGATACACTACACAGTAACATGAAGGCTGGGGCAAACTCTGCATGGATTCAACTGTATAAAGTGGTTTCATTAGATTGGTCTTACTATTCTATACATAACAGCAGTTCTCTGACACTAACAATAATAAAACTGTTTGAATTGGGTCTCAGCATTAGGAAGAGGATTCTGAAGAGCCAGTTGAGATGCAGAATCTCTTTTCTTAACCGTGGGTATAATTCTAGCTTGTAGAAATGATTCAGGAGCAATTCTAGTTCTGAATTTGGCTGTTCATGTAATATAACCCTTCAACACTGAATTTCAGAAGTCCTCCATTTATAAATCAATTACCTTTCAAACATTTCTTCCTAAGTGATTTTTTAAACCTGGGCCATCACTGAAAAGGGGAAGTGGACACAAAGCTACATGCCTAACCAACAAGCTATTTGCAATTGATACCTGCAGGGAAAGGGAAAATCATTTTCTCCAGTGGATTGCATTGGGTATTTCAGGGCAGGCCCCATGCCCAGGTATAGTTAACCAATGGAGAATGTACACCACATTTTTAAAGGCTTTTTATTTATCTTTTTGTGTGCTTATTTGTTTTGATTTTCATTTTTGTCTTGTTTTGGTGAGAGAAAGAGAGAGAGAAAGAATAGGGAGATGGAAAGGATCTGAAAAGAGTTGAGAAAGGGGAAAACATGATCAAAATACAGTGTTTTTAAAATAATAAAAATAACATATATATTTATATTAAAATATATAAGTAAAAATAAATGTATGATGGATGTGTATTCCATCCCAGAAACATTAAATACACATGAAGATCTTCAATATTGAGCCTGTACTTCTACATCATTGTTCTTTGTACACAAGATGCTTCTCTTTGGAGAATGGGAAATGGCATTCTTAGTGTCGGATTTGTTGGAGAAACTTTGCATGAAAAATGTTTTACAAATAATTTGAGAAGGTCCAAAGAGTCTTTGGTTCTGATTTTTAAAGTGTAATTAATTCCTTAATTCTGAACCCTGCTTTTTATGAGAAAAATCTATCTCCTCTTCTTGGGCTTCTTAAATGCCATACATCTTCTTAGTACTCTGGCAAGTATAAAATGCACCTTTAATACTTGAACTAGACCTTGTTTCTGAACTCAGAGAAAAACATGTATTTCTATTGGTTGCTCCAATAGTTTTACATAATACAAAATATGTTAGCATTATTTACACATTTAATTCTCATTGTACTTTTTCAAAATGTGACTATTTTACATAGGAAGAATTACATCTTGAAATATTATTCTTTAGTTAAATTTTATTAAGTAGGTAAATAAAGTTGTGGAATTTTTTTTTTTTTTTTTTGGTTTTTTCGAGACAGGGTTTCTCTGTGTAGCTTTGCGCCTTTCCTGGAACTCACTTGGTAGCCCAGGCTGGCCTTGAACTCACAGAGATCTGCCTGGCTCTGCCTCCCGAGTGCTGAAGTTGTGGAATTTTTAACTAAAACACTGCTTTGGTTGAACTGGCAGATTTCCCAATTTTTGTAATGTTCTGGTATCACAACTATAAACTTTAATCATCTATACATCAGTAGGATATTCTAGTGCTTTCATCTCTGGCAGCTACCAAATTCTTCAGATTTTTTTGGAGTTGCCAACCTCAGCCTCTGTTCACAGTTCACCATTTAAGTTCAAATGCTCAGTACTAAACTGTACATAAATTGTCTCATGCAACAGTATATTTTCATGTCTGCTCATTATCACATTATTGAATTATTTTGCTTTGAAAATTTTTCTCTCTCTGATAAGAGGCTCAGATCGGAATGCTGCTACATCCCATGCAGATAAGCATGCTGTCAATGATATTGGCAGAATAAGGTCATTTTACAAAACCATGATCTAATCTTAGATTAACAGAGGAATGAATCTTCAAGTACACGTTAATTTACTAGATCCTACATAGTTCATCCCCAATCCAAAGGAAGGTCTCTAGATCTAGAGACATCCTGATAAGAAGCAAAGATATGTAAATCCTGCATAACAGTTCAGTCTCTGGATTTGAAGAGTCAGGTAAGAATAATTTCTATGGTTTGTTTGCTGTCCACTTGTTAAATCTCATATTACTTACGTATTGAAATGTTCAGAGAAGATCAGATTGGTAGAGGTACCAGTGAGTGTTGTCAGCCCACCAATGGTTGAAGAGTAAGCAATAGATAAGCACATGAGTTTACACATCATGTGGTCCTTCTTTGACCGATATTTTGCTCCTGTAACTGAGTTCTGTTAATAAAAAATACATTATGAGAACAGTCTATTTGCAGTCATAACTACATTTCTTATATAATGAATGTGTTCCAACTCTCCTGTTTCATATACATGATGGTGTTTGAAGATGGAATCTTTGGTAGCTAATTAGAGTTAATGTCATGAAGTGAGATCAAAGCCCCTTTAAAAGGAGACATTAAGATTTCTCTCCACCAAGTGGAAATGCAGGGGGGTGGCCATGTTTGTGCCCAGGAAACAGCCTTCACCATACCCCTAACCCTGCCAGACTTGAATCCTAGACTTAAGTGTGACAAGTGGGGCATTGTGGAATTTTGTTATAGTAGCCTGGGCTAACTAATAACATAATACTTTCTTGTCTATAGAAATGTAACAATAAAATAAACACTTAAGTAAGACATTGAAATATTTCCCAAACATAATTTTAGTCATTCTTTAATACTTCTTTCCTGTCTCTGAGCCAATTCTTCCTTCATCTCTTCCCTCTCATCATAACTTCTAAAGATTTCTATCACTTCCTGCTGTTATTGATGGTACATGGCCAGCAAGTTCCTCAACATCTTTGGGAGCATTTTCCTTCCTTGGTCCTTTGATGGTTGATGTTCCTAAGACATCTCTCTAGAAAACAAATGTTTTCATCTTCATGACCCTTAGTATTGAGAGATGGAATCATACTCTCACATTCTCTCTCTCTCTCTCTCTCTCTCTCTCTCTCTCTCTCTCTCTCTCTCTCTCTCACACACACACACGCACACGCACACGCACACGCACACGCACACGCACACACACACACACACACACACTGACTCTCTCTCTGGATCATGTAAACTGGATATTCCATTTTTCTCTACTTTTGACCATGATATTCTGAAGTGTCGTTTAGTGCTTTCATGTAATGCTTCTGTCTTGCTTGGTCTCTCCATTTTGCCTAAAACATATGCCCTAGTTACATTTCTGGTTTTGTGAGAAAATATCCTAACAAAAATGGAGGCAGTGAAAGGGTTGACTCAGCTCACAATTCTAGGTTACGGTCCAGCATGGTAGGGAAGTCACAGGGCAGAAGCTAGTCACATCCAACTTGTTTATGCTCAACATCACTTTCCCACACTGTACAGTTCAGGATTCCCTGAACCACATAATATCCATGAAAGTTTTCTATCATAGTGAACTGGGAAATATTATACCAAATTGCTCATGAAGATATAAGACACAGAGATGTCAAATGAATTATCCAGTGTTGGTGACTAAAAGTGGCAAACCTGGACAATGACACTGTTGTCGTGCTTTAAAGCCCAGAGCTGCAGCCCTTGCTCTGTGTGAATTGTCTTCCTTAAAGTATTCTCTTCCTCTGCTCACTTAATTCCATTTATCTCTTTTTACTTAAAGTGCCATGGACGTGTTTAGATCCCTCCATATCCAAAGCCATCATGTCATCTTGGTCGAAGTCAATATTATCTCTAGCCTGTGTTGATCTAGTAATATCTTTGAGACTCCATGGATCAACCTTTGATGGTTTCACACTTGTTCTATATGCTCCAGTCTTCAAATAAATCTAAGAAGTATATTAGCACTTGATACCTTTTATCATGCTGTATTCACATGTATTTTAACATGTAAGGGTATCTTTAATTCTGTAGTGTATGGGACACATTGTAAATAGTCAAGAATTGCTATAAGGATATCCATTGGTTATCTTGGTAACCAAGAACACATTTTAAAAATACACATAGCCATGCCATGATAGTGCTATAAAGACTATTGGGGACTAGACATTATTTGTAACCTGGATCGCATTTCTTTTTGATACGTGCCCAGAAGTAGTATTGGTGGATCATAGGTTAGTTCTACAGTTCATTTTGTAAATAACCTTTATAGTATTTTATATAATGGCTGCAACAACGTATGCTCCCACCCACCAAGCACAACAGGGTGCATTGGTATTCCATGCAGATAAGCATGCTGTCTGCAATATTGGCAAGGTAAGGCCTTTTCACAAAATCATGATAAGGAAAAAAATGACTGCTCTCTAAAAGTCATCATGGATGTGAAAATGTCATGTTGCACGGCAGGGTCGGGCACTATGGACTATAATTTAGCTTATACTTTTTAATTAATTTAAAGGTCAGCCCCCATAGGTATCTACTCCTCACCCAAAAGAAAGAAATTTATAAAGACTCCATTTGCCTTATATTTTCTACATGGAAATGATTTGTATTTTCTATGTTTTTTTTTCTATTTAAAAGTTACCCAAAAGGGTATTAAAATATGGCAAATTTCATTAAAAATTTCATGAATGAACCTAAGTAAAACTTGGAACATAGCTTACACATTAAATATTTTTACTACAGAAAAAGACATCCAACAACCCAAGAAGTGATATATAATTTGGACATTATTAAACTGTAGATGTAGGTTTTTGAAAATGTAGTTTATGTATTGTTCCCCATCGACACTAAAGCTTACAGTTTTAAAAACAAATAAAAAATATAGAATTTATATGAAAGATGAACTACAAATATTTGCATAAAGAGACATAATGATTAAAATGTACTGGAAGATTTGTAATAAAAATAACTTCATACTGAGATGCCAGAGTCTTTTTCTACATAAAGAATGTAAAAACAGCATTAATTCCAGTGTGAGCACATAAACTGATATTTGTGTAGATATGATAGATTTAGATAGACAGAAAAGTTTAAGGTTAATTCAAATTCCACAATAAGTAGATCTATACATTAATTGATCACACCAATCAAATGTTTCATAGAATATTTTTGGTGTAGAATGTGAGATGCATATTTTTCACATCCTGTGACCATGATCCTCATAATTGAGATTTATTGTCATTTTTTTTGGTGGGCATGGGAGGCTGAGGTTAAGTAGTTATGCTGAAGCAAGGAGAGCCAATTGCTAATACAGAAATTATGAATAGAAAGAAAGTTTCACAGCAATAAATCTTTGGTGTCCTATTAAGACAATAGTTTGAATCTTGAATGAAGTGTTTGACACCAGAGCAAGAAGAAGCTGGATTAGATCACTTGAAACAGACAGTAAGACCCTGCCCAGAAGGATACACATGTTTGTAAATATGGAATGAGAAAATCATCACTCTGTGGCTTCATAGTGGAGGATTCTGGTAACTGTTGAGTATATGTTTGTTTTATACTGAGTCAGGCATTGGGGGAGGAGAATACGAACATGAGCATTTCAAAGAAAAGAAGGATTTAAATTAAATGGGAAGCATCTACAAGTATGAGGTACAAGTGGCCAGGAAGACTCTTATCCCAGGGTGGCCAGATGATTCTTGTGCCATGAGTGTGTTATGAATGGGAGAGTGCTTATGTCATAAGGTAAAGACTTCTGTGACATTACATAGACAGGTTGATGTGTATCATCAAACACATAAGTATATCCACATGTGCATCGGTGACTAGAAACAATGCTAAAAGGATATGACAAAATATTAATAATGATATTTCTTGATAATGTAATTATAGTATCTGCTGCCTTGATATATTTTGTACCTTCTGTAATTATAAGAATAATTTACATGTGTTTTTTAACATGTAAAAGGGTTATAGACTACTAGAGCAGACAAGTATTTATATTTGATGTGGAACAAACATCAGCTTTTTCAGGCAATAAAATAAGCTTTAAGTGTGACAATCACTCACCACAGATCTGAAACCACAGCTCCTTTATCATAGTTCCTTTTTACTACCTTCTCTTACAATGTTTTTTTTTGTGTGTGTAAGGTTTTAAACCTACTTCTAAGAATTTGACCCAATTCTAATACTTGACATACAGTAGTGTCATACACACTGAAATATGACATCTAAGAACTTGCTAGTGTTTTTCCAGATCTTCTGAGTAACTGAAATAGTTTCAATTCGATCATGACCAAATGCAGAAATCTGTGACATGATCAAAGACAAGTCAGACAGGAGCCTCAGGCCTGGGTGTTACTTTGTGACGCCTCCTGGTGGTAATGATGGTAGATGTCAGAGGCAAGATGCACCTTTCCAACTCTGAATGTTGAAATTGTAGGTATGAATTACCAACAGCCAGCCACACAAGTCAGTTCACTGGAATGAACTGAATATGTTATGAACACATCTAGGCTTCTGTTTATATTTTATCATTATAAAAGGATGATTATGGAGCCTATTAGTTCTTGCCAAGCAGTTTCAGCTTGCCAACAGCTAGCTTGTAACCTTGCAGGTCTTTTTGTGTAAATGTGCATTCACCTTAGAGTTCACTTACTGTCAATTCTTTTTGTACTAGAGTGAACCTAGAACCTTGAGTGTGCATCTGCACCCTTTTTACTTCTCTACTTAGAAAAAAAGGTCACACTAAGGTGCTCAGGATGGCCTTAAAGTCACTCTGTAGCCCACCAAGGCAGCCCTTGAACTGGAAATTCTCCTGCATCATTCTCCCAAGTAGACATGCCTGCACTACTCAGGCCATATCTTGGTTTCTCAGATGCAGGCATTGCAATTCAATTTTTGTTTTGTTTTGTTTTTTGAGACAGGTTTTCTCCATGTGGTTTTGGTGCCTGTCCTGGATCTCGCTCTGTAGACCAGACTGGGCTCAAACTCACAGAGATCCACCTGGCTCTGCCTCCCAAGTGCTGGGAATAAAGGTGTGCGCCACTACTGCCCGGCTTGCAATTCAATTTTTATACACCATGTAAGCAACATTTAACACTTTTCCCATAGCTTCCTTCCCTAACACACTTAGACTTTGTACACTTCCATGGTCCTAACATTATAACAACATAATTTGTCTTAGAGTAGAATTCAGTGTTTCAGCGAATAGGAAAATAGCTGAATAAGAGTAGATACATGGATAGATAGAAGCAGACAAAGGAGTTTATATAGTGATATATAAGACTCACTTGCTCAGGATTTTGTGGACAAGCCACTCAATTCTAAATATTCCCTTCTATAAATTTCCTCCCATTACAATCAAATGCTAGGCTACTTTAAACACATCAA